GGACTACTCTTGTTGCGCCTATCTATTGGTCTCGTGCCAGCCGCTGAAAACCCTCAAGGTTTCGCGTTTAGGCTTTCGTGCTTTCTCCGCCACTGGGTCGGCGGACTGAGCCGGAGGCTCTTAAGTTGATGACTACACGGATGGCAGACATATTGACGGATGAACCCTCCCCACAGAAAAAGAGTGCAGTTCTGGCACCTCTCTTCTTGGAAAGCAGCTGTTATGGCTGGAGCCGTATAGTTGATCCTACGAACGCATCAGGTTTTGGAACTTGTTAGTTTCACGTTCGCGCCTCATGCCGGCTGTGCCGTAGATAAGCAAGGGCACCTTTGCGCGTCGCTCCTGTCATTGGAAGGGCTGCCCTTTGGGTATATAAACCCTAAACCCCTAAACAACCAATCCCAAAAGGAATCTGGAGCCACACCAAAAAGAGGCCAGTGGGCTTTACAGGGGGAACCCAGAAAAGTTGTAACCTCCCACGCCTGCAAAAGGGCCCTAGAAAGACTGGTTTCCTTGAAAGAGGGGCTGTATGGTTTCTGTCCACAGGGCATCACAGGGCTGTGTACTACCTGACGCACCCCCCAAGCATAAGCTTCAAACAAAGGAAATGTACGGCTTGTTTTGGACTCGTTAGGTTGTGGTGGGTGTTAGGATGGGGGGCAATGCTGAAGTGTGTGACGGAAGCAAACCGTCGAAACTTGAAGCTCTGACTTCAGTGGCTTTTGTGTACCGGGGCCCCGCTTTGTCTTGCATGCTGACGAGTGAGGGACCCTAAACTCTGAGCCCAAAGAAAGCATATTCAGGCTACAATTCTGAGCAACCTAAACGCTAAACCTTACAAACCCTTTACCCTGAGCTTTGGTTACAGGAACCCACTCCCCCTGATGCACAGCCAAGTCGTTGCACCTCCGGAATCTTCTCGGCTCCCTCTTTCAGCCTTGGGCTACGGACCCTGATTGGTCCGAGGGCCCAAATTTGATGACATCAGGTACCAACATTCATTGAGATGAAGGTGTTTGTTTGGTATATACAACAGGTTGAAAATGAACTACTACATAGGTGCCCAAGCACTGAGTACGGGGTGGTACTTCAAGGTCCCTAAGATTGTTTGCGAATAGCCTCGCGTATCAAACAAGCAGGACATCAAAGAAGTAAATCTTAACAGCAAGTAACAGCCTCGTGAACAAGTAATTGCAACAGCAGCGCTGTCTCTCAACTTTAACACTTGGACCCGTGGAGAACAACTGCCGACTCCATCCTTCCAAAGGGGCCAGGGTGCAGTGCAAGCAAAGGAGGGACGGCATTCTCCGGCTTCTCGCGATACCTTGGCTTCAGGGTTTAGGGCCTGAGGGTGTACGGTTTAGGGATACCTCACAACATATCCTTGTCTAAGAATACGCGGGGGGTTGTAGCCTGAAGATTGCAACATTGTACCCCTAAACAGGCTTTCCCATATGACCATCTAAATATGCCAATGTAGGTCCCGTATTCCCTAATTAGACGGATAAACAAGGTTAGATAAGATACACCTTAAGGTGTACAGCACTGACACTCTTGAAAAAAAAAAACGGACTGCTGGGAATTTCAGCAATCATGAAAAAGGCGGCAAGAGGCTAGACCCTAAACCCTGAACCCTAGGCCCTTAACCCTGAACCCCAAACCTTAAACCCGAAACCCTAA